CAAAAACGTTCATTAAAATATCCCCATGATGTGTCGTGGCCCCCCACCCCGATCTTCCACTCTGCTACAGATAATGAAGAGAGCTGACGAGCTAGACCTCAGCCACAGCAGCGTTGTATGACATCCCTAATGTCTCATTAAAAGACAGACATTTAGGCTTCACTTTTTTCCAACGCAGGAAATACAGGGGAAAATACTGTCTCAATACACCCAAAGGCTTAACTCAAAATATCAGACATGATTTGCAAGGTGTAAATAGACAAGTTCTCCAAATCATTATAACATCTGCTGCATTGAAGATGGAAACGGTTTCCTCGTATTCCCTCCTTGGGGTGCTAGAGAAAGTCACGGAGAGCACAACATTCGAGCGCCCTGCTTTCACTCGTAGGCGCGGGGAGCCACCTGCATGAGAAACCTTGCCTCTTCTGCCGGGCAGGCCTGGCCCGGGGCCTCTCCAGGCGGGACTAGAGGCTGAGGGGGGACCGTTTCCATCGCACGCCGGGGACACCTCATGCCGGGGTTGTCCTCGGGACTACGACGAGCTCCGAACTCTCCTTCAGAGATGAAAATCTCCACCCAGCACCTGCATAATGCACTTTTTTCAAAGGCTAGCAATGTGATCACATCTGCAAGGACTTTCAGCGGAGCAGAAAGCACGCCCCCGAAAGGAAACTCCGTCCCCTTCGTCCGCCAGACGACGGCCGCCCGTTCACGGTCGCTGCCGTTTTTGGCCTCAGCGTGGGCCAGCGCAACGCAGTCCTCATGGCTGGAAAGGCCTGAAACACCTGGCACCAAAAACGTTAACACAAACGGTTCTGACAAACTCCTAAGTCACCGGAACGGAAACTTATAATGGGAACGGAACATTGTAACTTTCCACATCCATCCGGCCAAAGCATAACTGGGGCCGGGGGGAGGTTTAAACGCGGTGCAGAGCGTGTTATCTAAACGTGAGCTCCGAGCAGGCCGAGCCAGCCCGCACACTGCTTCTCCTCAGCCGGCTGCCTCCCCGGGGCGACAGAAACAGGCACGCTCTTACTGCAGGGAAGGGAGGCTGCGCGCGCGCGTGTGTGTGTGTTTGTTTGTTTGTTTGTTTTTTAATTAAAAATCCA